ATAATTTCAGTATATTTTATACATTTTTTACAAATATTAAAACGTATTATTACCGTATACAATTCTGTATATAAATTTCTTATAGGGTAAATTGAATTTGAACTCATCTCAATTGCTACTTCAAATTCAGAATAAAAGAAGTAATCTTCTTTTACTTCACCAATTTCATATACATATCCCAATGCTTAATATGTCCTATCATTATTGGAATGACCAACAGCTTCATAATTCTCAGCACAAAATAATGTGCCTATAATTTGTTTTTCATTTAAATTAACAGTATTTTTAAATTCCTCATAGAAATTTATTATCTAGGAAATGTCTATTTTAACATTGTTATGAAGCTACTTCACAACTGTATCTTCATCTTTATCAAATATCTGTTATTTATCTGAACTAGATTTCTTCACAGCAACCTTTTTGTAACGTACGAACCTGAAAAATAACTTAAAAGTTCTTTTTTGAAGATCATGACCAACTAACTTCCCAGATCTTCTATGTTTTTTTCCATGAACAATGTCATAGTGATTATCCACCGTTAACTTGATCTTATTTCCCAAAAAGTTTGAAATCTTTGTTAAGGATACATCTCTTACTACCCCATCCACAACTCTATCATTACATAAAAAAATAGCCAATTGATTTTTTTTAATTATTTTAAGATTTTGTGACAATTCAAAAAAAAATACAAATTGTTTTTTATACTTTGGAATTAAATCTAATTTATGACTATCATTAATTAATATAGTTGAGTTCCTTTTAATTTTATCTTGGAGGTCAGTTGTTGATACCTTAAATCGATTATTTCAATATTCTAACAATTCGATAATATCTACTTGGTGACGCATATTTAAGAGTCGTATGAATACAGAGACAGGATCAAACTTTAAGATTTTTATTTAAAAAAAAATATATTAGATTAGTATTATATAATAGAAAGTATTATTAGATAATCAAGCGTACAACTCAAATCATCATCTAAATAATTTTATATAACTAATATTTTAATATATAAATTATTTAGAAAATTTAAATAATATATATTATTAAATATTATTTTTATTTAAAATAAAGTGAAAAATAATATATTTATTTGTATTATGAAAAATTTTTTTATTATATTTAAAGGTTAAAATTGGGTAATTTTTAACTAATTAAAGATTTTTTTTAACTGGTTAATAACTAATATTAATTTAGTTAAAATTTAATTTTTGAATAAAGTTAATAATGTTGTGCTGAGTTAAATTTAATTGATTAATTAATCAATTAAAATATTTTTTAACTAATTATTAACCAGTTAAAGTTCTTTAAGCTATTTCTAACCTTTAGTCATATTAGCTTTTTAGTTTTCATAAGCTAATAAAATTCATAATTTTATTGATCAAATCTTTATTTTTTATTTCTCAATATTATATAATAAAATAACTAACAAATCTTAGTAAAATCTAATGAATATTACGGAATATTACAAATATAATAATTATATAATTTAATATAATTTATTTAATAAACTTATAACAGTTTTATTTTTAGTATTATTATTTTATTTACATTATTTTTATTATTTTTAATATTTATATTATATATTTATTTTAATATTTTAATATTTATTTTTATTTATTATTTTATTTATTATTTTTATTTTTTTATATTTTGATATTTTATTTTCTTAATTGATTGATATATTCAGTTTTATATAAATTAATAAGATTTTTAATTAGTGAAGTATATATTATTACCTGAAAAATAGGACGTTTATTTTTAGGTAAGAAATCGAGTCTGTTATGTTATAAATTTGGAAATATCTTTAATCACTGCTGTCATCTATTATCAAAGATTATAAATTCATCATAACCTTTTTAAGCTGAATCACATAATGATTCATTTTAGTATGAAGATTTAATGAATTGTGATAGAGGTAACACATAAGTGAGTTATACAAATATTATGAGAAATAAATAAAAGAATAATTTTGTTAAACATAAAGAAAGTGTTTTATTAAAATATTATAACGTTATAAGTGATTGCATACTCATCAATACTAATTCTTCACGTTATATTCTTCCTAGATTAATTACTTCTCTAGATCACCACCTTTTTAATAATCCCAACTTGTCCTATTTATACATTTTGAATTGATCTAAAATTACAGATATATTAGAAAATTATTACATAAGGATTGCTATTAACTATCTAATTATTGCACAATTATTACTACATATTTTATTGCATAGTTGCTACATCATGGCTATATAAGAATAACTAATTTCCTAACTATGATTTAATATCTTTTCATAATTATTACATTTTATTTCTAATTTTTAGATGTGGCATATTGTGTCATGTAACATTAATTTCATTGATCAACATTTTAATTTATGATTATATTTTTATTATGAGATTGTTTTTGCGATTTCTTTGATGATGAATATTAATCATGCTTTTTGTATCACATTTCTGGTCATGTGATTTGCTGTGTCTCATTTTCACTTGGTTAACAATATTAATTAATATGCTAATCAGTAATTTTATTTTAAATTTATTAAAATATTTATATAATATTTAATACAAGATTGTTTGTTATCTTAATCAAATAAATGAATAAAATATATTTTATTTATTTAACTAGTAAATTAAACTTTTGTTTATTACTTAACTAATTTCTTAATATTTAAAAATATTCTTAAATAACTAATAATAATATAATAATATATAATTTTTAAATTTTTAATAAATTATTTACTTAATTATTTAATAAAAATTAATTTTTTAAAAAATATTATTTAATAAAGCTTTAGAATATGATTATTTTACTATAATTAATTTTAAAAAAACTAATTTAACAATAAATAATTTAGTTTTTTAAGTTTAACAAAATTATTATATGGGAGCTTTGCAATAGAAAGGAAGGAAACTCTAAAAAAATTTTTTTTTGAGTTAATGTTAAATCTGGACTTATTTTACAAAAAAAATCATAATTAGCTTAGAAAGTAAAATTTTAATTTTTTTAGAGTTTCCTCCCTTTCTATTGCAAAGCTCCCATATATTAAAAATAATTTATATAATTAGTTTAGATATAATTTATAATTTTCTTTATTTTATATTATTTGTATTTTTGATTTATTTTTTCTTATAAAATAATATTTAAATATACATAAATTTAATTAATTTTATATTAAATAATTATTTAAAATTCATATTTAAAGATAAGAAATAATAATCTTATGTATTTATTAAAAATTATAATTATTTTTTATATTAAAAAACCTTTGATAATTAATTAAATAATAAAAATGTTATTAAAAAATGTATAATAATTTTAAATGAAAAAAATGGAAAAATTGCTAGTAAAATCAAATTATAAAATATAAAATATTATAAATAATGCTTAAATATATTAATAACATACTAAATTGAATTAAAGTATAAAAAAATCATAAAAATATTAGTTAAATAGTAAATATTATTTATATGTATTATTAAAGGATCTGTTTATTATGATTTTAATCAGAACCTTTATAATTCTATAATAAAATGTATAATATTGATTAATTTTTTTTACTAAATATATGGGAAATTTGCTAGGAAAATGGGATTCTGAACTAAAATTTCATTTTAATCTAATATCAAAATTTAAAATGCAATAAAATTTTAGAATCCCATTTTTAGATATCATTAAAATTCATTTTATTTTTAACCATTTTTGATGGTTACTTTTTTTAAAGAATTGGAAATTAAATTAGACAAATGATATAGAACCAAATTCTTTGAGACATATTTTCCGAAACCATACCAACCGAACACACGTTCGGAACTTATAAAAAAGAAAAAGTAATTGAAAGATAGCAAGCAAAATTTAAAATTAAGCAAATTGTCCTATCATTAATTTGAAAAACAACTGCTAATAAAAAAATTCAATCAACTATAACAATAAAAATCTAAGTCTCATCGCACCAATATAAATTCACATATATTATTAGACAACTCTAGGTGCCAAACTAACGACTTTTCCCCATTTCTTACCTCTCAATTCAGCCCCTACAACACCCAAAACTCTTGTACCCAAAGGTTCTTGACGATTATTTAATAGGATACAAGCATTATCATCAAATCTGATATATCTACCATCAGGTCTTCTTGTTTCCTTACGAGTTCGAACAATTAAAGCTTTCTTTACTTCTCCTTTACGTATTTGTAATTTGGTAGCTGGATTTGCTGCCGATGTTGTGGAAATTACTTGTGAAATTGGTTTTGCTTTTTTAATTACAACTGTTATAGGGTCGCCTATGTAAATTACAAGATTCGGATCATATTTTTTTTGTGGTAGTTTTTCGAAATAAATACTATCTATATGTCTTTACCTATTCGACCATATCTACCACCGTGGGCTACTCTTATACATTCTGCGAATATTGCACCGGAATTATCGATTACGTTTAATATTGTTTTAAGTTGAATCATTAGATTTTTGGCTTATTTTTTTTTTTTTGATTATAGTTGCCAAAGTTTAGCTCTTTATTAAAGATTAAATTAAAATAAAGTTCGTTCAGGTATTTATCAAAATAGATTTCGATTTATCTGTAGATGGATCGGCGTTGTGTTCACAAATTGGATAAAAAAAACATCGAAAAGGATGTTTCGTTTTAATAATCAAACATTAATTTATGATAATTATTATGTCTATCTTTTCATGTATACGTTCTCTAATTTATCCTACTAAAAGTTATTCAGAAACAATTCGAAGGTTTCAAAATACAATATTAATATCATCATATAGTATATCCAGTTCATATAATACAAGAGTTTGTTATTTAAATATTCTTTAAAAAATTAATTTTTAATCAAATCTAATATATATTAATGATTTTTCTTCAAACCGAAATTATTAGTCGAGAATAATACAAAATATAATGAAACATAATCGAAAATTTTCAAGTTCCAATCATCAAGCTAATAAATCATCAAAAAATGATTCTTCGCCGAAAGATAAATCCAATAATAATTCACAAGAATTATTCGAACAACAATATATTCGTCAATCATTAAAATCAAATAATGTAGAGGATTTTTGGCATGAAATTGAAGATTATACACATGAGCCAGGTATATAAAAAGTAAAGCTTGTTTATGATGATTTTTTGAATCAATTAATTTATGCATTAATCAATGTATTTTTAAGTATAGAATTTTTTTCGTTTAGTGGACCAAAGTCGAAATTGGCTATTAAAGATGCCAACTTTATACGTAAATTAATATCAGCGGCAATAACAATGAAACGTCATGGAGGCGATTTAGTACCCAGTTTAATAGCAAAAAGATGTTGTGAACTATATGAAACTCTTGATAACGTTGGTATATTTATTTATTTCATTCTTTTTTATTCTTTTTAAAGTTCGATCTCATCATAAATGTATTATTTAATTTATGATGAATTAGGAGGATAAGATTAAATTCATGTATATACTTGCTCGTGATTTTGGTAGGTGAAACATTAGTAAATGTATCTATTTGACTGCTACACTTTTTAAGGGATTGATTCAAAAACTTTTAATAATTTTGATAATAGGTGTAATTAGAGATGAAGCTCTTAAAGCTGCAAATAATTATATTAATTTATCAAATGAAGATGCGGTAGGATTAATTCATTCATCACTAATTTCATCTTTCTTTATTTAATTCATATTTCTTTTTAATTTAATCAGTATGGGAGAGCAGTACTTCGAGCGGAACAAATACTTCGACATTCTATGATTCCAGCACATAATGTATTTTTTGATCGGATAACTCCATTACCTGGTGGTACAAAGTTTTTAGTGAATATGCGTGCCGATTTACTTGTAAGTCAGTGAGAAATTTTATTGGAATTTGTCTTTTTATCAATTTCAATCCTTGAAATATTTATATGTATTTTTTTTTAAACAAGGCATATTTGAAGGAAAATAATCATGAGGCATGTTTGATGACGTTAAATGAATCTTTGAAAGATAAGTTGTCATCATTATTAGTTGGATTTTTGGATTTAAGGAGAATAACGTGGTATTCATCTGCTGCCATCTTAGAGAAAGTCATAGAATATGAGGCAGTGCACGCTATAAAGGATTGGGATGACATGAAGAGGTTATATGATCATTTATATATGTGTATATGTATTTTGAGTATTTTATTTGTTCAGGTTAATAATTATTTATTAATCAATTAATCTAGACGTGTCGGGCCTGGTAAAATAATATTTATATTATCATTATGAATCATTTGAAGAGACATTAATTTAATCTATATGCAGGAAGACGTCTCTTTGCGTTCTTTTATAAAAATATGAAACATGAGCCACTTGTATTTATTCAAGTAGCCCTAACAAATGAGATTTCGGACAACGTTCAGGTTATTATAAATAGTTTTGACATTCTTTTACAAACTATAATGTATTAAAATGTTCATATTTATTTGTAGGCAATATTGGAAGATCCTAACCCAACAAAGTCGATACCAACGATAGAGGATGTTAACTGTGCGATATTTTATTCAATAACAAGTCAACCAGGATTATCAGGCATTGAACTTGGTAATTTTTTAATTAAAAGAGTAGTAAGAGAGTTACAAGCCGAATTTCCAAGTATAAAAACCTTTTCAACATTAAGTCCTATACCAGGATTTCAAAAATGGTTAAATGCTGTCATAAATGTCGAAGGTGATAGTATTTTAGTTGATGATGAAGCTGAAAAAATCAAAAATTTAAGAAGTTATTTAGAAGGTAGTGGAACTGAAATCTTAAAAACCATTTTAAAATCCAAAGATTGGATTAGAGATGAAGTGTGTTTTCATACATTTAAACCTATCTTGATGAGATTATGTACAAGGTATGTTAGAATTTATTTTATCTATTAATTTTTTTAAATATGATTTGGATTGGATTTTTCAATTTTTTTTTTTTTTTAAAAAAAAAGATATATTCTAACAGAGAAGAGAAGAAATTTGGCGTTGGATCCTGTTGGTAAGTTACAGCATTCACAAATATTTTGTAATAATTAATACTCACCCAAAAAATTTTACACGTAGCTAATTTTCATATCAGAAATGGAGCATGTGTTCATAGATTAAATTGGTTAGGTGATATATCAAGTAAGTGAAAACAATTTTTTTGTATTCTTATTAAATGTTAATAAACTAATTTATTTTAACGAATTTAATAGATAAAGGTTTAGAGGAGTCATTTGGAATAATGGCAAATTATAATTATATATTAGATCATATTGAAAGGAATAATCAACAATATTTGTGTGATGGAAAAATTTCAGTATCAAATGTTGACCCTTTATTAGTTGAAATAGCAAATAATTCTCAAAATATAGTAATAATTTAAGATAGATTCTTATCATAGTAGAGTGAGTAATGAAAGGGGTTTTCTTTTTTTAAATTTTTTTATTGTAAAAATATATATAATCTGAAACTTACGTGTAAACAATTCGATTCATTTTTAAATTGCTTACGTAAGAAAACTACCATTGGCGTTCACCTCATGACTTGCTGCGGTACGGTTGGGTTCCTATCTTTAACCAATCATGTGAGCTAATGATTGGATCAAATCAAGTTTATTTTATATTTTATTTCTTTTGTACATTTATAAAAAAAGGTTGACCATATGGGGAAAGTTTATACAATGTTCAACATTTTCATCCATTCTTTACTACTAAAGAAAAAAATGTGTCATTGATTCATTTGTAAACAACCTTACAAAATATATTAAATTTAGAAAGATGAACCAAAATGTTTGTTAAACTTATTGGTAAAATTTCAGGTTACAGTGAAACCAACCTTTGAAAGAAAACTTGAAAACGTGTTTATCACAAACAATCTATTTTTGTATTAATGTTTGTTGAACATAATCATCATAATCAAGGGAATAATACCCTATTATTGCCCCATTATTACTTCGATTCTAAATATAAATAATCGAAACGATAAAAAAAATTTTTTTTTTTTGATCAATATGGTAAAGCTTAGTAATGAGAGATCTTAATCAGATCATTCGAGAAAGGAGGAATTCCTGTAAAGAGTTTAAAAGGGATTTCCTGTTTTTAAAAAAAAATGATAATAGGGAAAAAGTTTCAATTATACCAAATTTTTAATTTTGGTAATCAAAATTAAAGTTTCGGTTTTAAAAAATTTTTAATTAAACCTCGAAGCACAAGGAATCGTCATTCAGCATCCGAGCAATCGTTAGCTTGATAATAATAAGAAATTTTGAAAGAATTGTTGTTGATCAACTGCGAGGACCACGCGAGAAATTAAGGTTGAACCTTAATTACATTTTTTTTTTTTATGAATACGATTTCTTTGTTTCAAGATGAAAGTTTATACTTGTGTTCAATTTCGTACGTAATTGGTTATATTCTTTGGGGTAAAAAAAGGGCGGGTTGAGATCAATCAGTATTATAAATTATAGTTTTATTATAAAAAAAAAAAAAATTTCGATTCATAGGAATTATTTTATATTTTATCGTAATCATTTATCATTATTATTTTTTATTTTTAATTGTCCCTCAAAGAAAAATTTTCGATTTGAACATCTCAATAAGTTTGAAACAAACCAAGATAACTTATCAATAAAATATGATTTTTTTTAAAAAAAAGAATCAATCAGTATTTATTTTCTTGATTTTTTTTTTTGCTTCGATATTCTCAAGTTTTCTTGACAGATGGATTGGATGGATGGACGAAAAATTGGCGCGGAAATAAGATTCCGATTTAATGCGTCATTTCCGGTGATTAATTACTTCATTTGTTTCATTTATTCAACAAAAAAATAATAAAAAATTGCTCAACGAGAAAAAAGTTTTTTATTTTTTTTTATTTTTAATTAACATCCACCTGTTTTTTTTATATATTCATTAAATGAATGAATGAATGCTAATTAAAATATAATGAAAATACAGTATAATCTAAGATGTATAAAAATAAAATAAAAATATATATTACTGTAATATTTTTTTTATTTATTAAAGTTGTATGGAAAATAAAAATTGCCGCTTTTTTTTTTAAAAGAAAAAAAAATCAATAAAAATAAAAATAACCATGTATGCATGCACTCTCTTAATAATTAAAAAGGAGATGAGTTGTTATGAGTTATTGAGTTGCCCGTTTGATGAAAATCTTGTGTTGAGAAAGGTCGTACAAGAGCTTCGAAAGAACAGAAATGACGAATACTCGATCCATTTCTAGTTAGAATTGTTGAACATTCAATGATTTCCTTGTATATTCAACCAAGAATGGGACAATTAGCTGCGTATCATGCCCCAGATCTTAGCACAAATGCATAATTTTTGAATATATAAACCATAGTCAAATTCTCCTCTTTTTGCTGGAAAGAAGTGAAAGTCAACGGCTGCGCCTTTGCAATTTTTCATGACCGAACACCACAATCACCTGCAGAAGTGCGTTGGTGCTTTAAGAGGCGGAAGAAATGATCAAGCAAACATCAGGTCTCTATCATCCTCACTTAACCATCCAAGAAGATTAAGCGGTGGTTCTAAACAATTACCGCCTTTACCTCCTCCACCTGTTGCGAACAAATCTTCTCTGATGGAACAAACTATACAACAAAAAGAGAATAAAGCACCAGATGCTTTAAACATCTATCGGAAAAACTATATCTTGTATCTTAAATCGGAAAACCACACAATGTTGGTCAATGACTCTCGGTTTTCATCAATGGTTATTGCTGCGTGGCAAAAAGAACCTTCAGTTGTAAAAGAGTATTATGAAAAAATTGCTGCTGAAATTTCAAAACAACAAAAAAACTTGAGAGTTCCAATTAGCACAAACAATGGAAGCGAGCTGGTTGATCATAAAATTTTTGTAAGCGATGAACAATTGGATTTTGCCCTGTATCGCAATTCAGACGACCATCATTCAGGTATATAAAAAAAAAATTTTTTTTTTCATTATTCTCTTATTTCTTATCTTTTTTCTTCTTCTAACATTTTGGTTTCAATTTTTTCTCTCAGTTGCCCCCCTTACGCCTATATCGATACCTTCAACACCAGCCGAGCCCACGTTACCTCTGTTCGATTCCTTTGATTCTGATGAAGAAATAGATTATGACACTGTTAACTTCTTTCCCAGTTTAGACTCTATTGGAAGGAGACCATTACCAACTTCAAAAAAGTGAAGGAATAGTTCTCATCAATCCTTCTCCGTACTGTTAACACCATCTCGTTACCTTTGCGTTTGAAATCACATTCACAAACGATAAAAAAAAATTTCAAAAAAAGAAAAAAAAATTTTTAATTTCGAAACTCGAAGATTATAAAGCGGATCGTCCATCATGGTTCGAATCGAACACCTTGGCTTGGATCATAAAAACACAAAAGTCTAAATGCGACTTGCGAAATGGAAAAGGTTGCGCCCGGCTCTGCGTCATGATGGATATTTAAATTTTTAAATTATTTTTTATCACATTTTTTTTTAATATCTTTTTTTTTACAACTTCTTTCAAAAAAAAAAAAAAAAAAAAAAACAAAACAAAACATTTACTTCTCGCCGTATTCTTCTCATTTCCGATAGATAGCTAACTTCTGCGCCTAGTTTAAATTTAATGGTAATTTACCCCTTCCCCTTCGAACATGCGAATCGTTTTTCTTGTGATACGAAATTTTTTGTGGTACGAGTCGTAATAGCCAAAGGCGTGGCTTGCTGGTTCTTTGCCACGTAGCCTGTGTTGTAGTTTGAAAAAATTATTAATAGAATTGCTGGGACGTATAACAAAACGAAATTTTTAATATTAAGACATTTTTATGTAAAAAATTTAAGCTATGTACATATGTCTCAAGTAATTTTATATTTTTTTTTATGTATATGAAATACATTGTCATTCTTTTTTTGGTACCAAAAAAAATCAGTACATTTTTTTTTAATTGAATTTCCATTTTTTTAAAAAGTGAAAAGTGAATTACGGATAAATTAATGCCGTTCCGCAGTATTTTTACGAGGTTGCGCAGCAAATTAATGACTTCAAATCTTGTACATCTCAATGTATATGACATGATTGCTCGAACCATTCATCTTCATCGTTCGCGGATCCTTTTCCTAACTATTGGTGTAAAGATATACGGTTTTCAAATTAAACCAAATAAAAAACATCAAATGATTATCGTCGGTCACATGGAATGTTGGTCATGTACGGTTGTTATCTTTTCTTGATTGTGACTCGTAAAACCAATGATATTCCCTTTTGTGTTTTGGAAATGAACAAATAGGTTCATTCAAAACCTTCCAAAATGAATTGTTTTGATTACAAACAATTTAAACCCGAAAGCTATTCAATAATTTGACCTAATAAATCCATGCTCAATAATGCAATAACAAAAAATATTATTATTGATCATGCATAATAAGTGTTATTAAATGAGACGCTAAAATAAAATTCCAGGGAAAAAAAAATCTATTCATTTCCCCACAATAGAGTTATGTCGTGATTGGTAAATCAATGGGCAATACATTATGTGTATAATTGAATAATATTAAGTAAACTTAAGCCACTTGTGTAGGGCGCAGCATGTCATTCCAATTAATCATTGGATCCTTGGTTAAGGAAAAGGCATGAATAAAGAAATGACCTCTTTATCTATAACGTCGAAAATAAAAAGAATCCTCCCCCTGTACAACATAATTAATCTCCTTTCGAGTAAAAGAAAATTTCCCCATTGTTAAATAATCATTGTTTTCATTCTTTAGCATTTTAAATGAGAATTCGTTGCATTAGATATCCATGACCTTGCGAATAGGAGAGCGATGTTCATGCAAATAAGAAAAAAAAAATTTTTTTTTTATCCTTTTTATCATTAATTTTCAGGATTTCATTATTGGGCGCCCGTGTTGGGAGAATTATTATTATTATGGTAGTAATGAAAAAAAACCAATAAAAGTCGGAATTGTTGGACAAATCAATAAAAAGGTCATCGCATTGGCCTTATTCGGAATAGGGAATCTTATGAGGCTTATTTGATTTTAAAAAAACGTACGTACAATTAGGTTTTTTTTTAAGACCAAATAAAGTTAGTATAATCATCATTGATTCAAAAAAAATATATATAAATTGAGTTTCAGCTTCAGTAATCCGATTAATAAGATTCATCAAATTCCAACTTCCCCCCTCTCCATTCTTTGTTTGTTCGCTTCGTCATGGAACGAAAAACCGCGGCACAAAAAGTTTTGCTGTCGCCCGATGTATTATTCTGCATATCGAATTATATCGATCGCCAGGATGATATCTTTAACTGTCTCTTTGTTAATACAATATGGACTTTGGTAAGGTGACTTCGTGTTTTTTTTTTTGTTTTTATTTTTTTTTTCTCACTTTTTTTTAAAAAATTATCAAACTTGTGTTTTTTTTTCATCAAAAGGTAATGGTAAGACAACTATGGAAATCTCCCGTGTGGAAGACGGCTGGTTCCTACCAAAAGTTTATACGCACGCTTCGTGGTAGGAAATCACGATTTTCATATGGTGTTATGATTCAACGTATTGTATTTAAAAATTTTAAAAATCATCGTTCTTATGGGAGCATTCCGGATTTTTCAACGTTGGATCTAAAATTGATTTCAAGAAAGTGTCCAAATATTAAACATATTACCATCGCTAATCCAAGACATCCTTTCTCAGTGGTAAACGTATCAGCAATGTTATGTTCCACACCGAATTTAATCTCATTCACCGTGTTGAATTGTGACAGCGAATGGTTGCATGGAGCTTTAAGACCGATGAGAGAAGGTTTATGTCCAAAATTACAACACCTGGAAATTAGTGATTGGAGTAGAAATTGGGCTTTTGACGTTTTAAGGGATGTAGGGGAACGTTGTAAGAATATTGTCTCCTTGAAATTATATCAACGGGTATATAGGACGGATATCGCAAGGTTGATTGTGAAATCATTTCCAAATTTACAAACTTTCGAATGTAGGCACATTAATTTCGCAGGATTACAAGGACTTATCACGGGTGCCGCCAAACTTAAATCGTTAACTTCGCAATTTGAAGATGATATTACGGATGAGGCTGCCGAAAGTTTGGCCTTTGGTTTTGCCAAACTTGAGTCATTGAGAATTAGAACCATTCACGAAATAGATTTTCCAAAATTTAGTTGTTCCCTGGCGAAACATCAATCATGTTTACGTCATCTTCATTTAGCCACCGTTCATATAACGGATGCGACGGTTGAAAAATTGGCGGAAAATTGTAATTACTTGGAATCTATCGAGATTTATATGTGCTTTCAATTGACGGATTCCGCCATAAAAGCGTTAGCGATGCATCGTAACACTCATTTAAAACACCTCATGATAGCTTATAATGCTCGCATAACGGATGAAGGTATGACACACATCGCCATTCATTGTATAAATCTAAGAAATTTCATTGTCATGTCATGTACAAAGATGACAAATGTAGCTTTCATGAATATTACGAGAGAATGTAAAAGTTTGGTAGAATTTACTGTTCGTAATTACCCTCGGCAAACTTTGGCCTCCATTGTGCATACTTTGGCGACGCGTAATAAAGGAACTTTGAGAGTATTTAAAGCATATGATACAGGAATTAAAACCATTGAAAATACTTCAAATCATAAACTTAATTCTGTTGCTTTAGAGAAATTAGCCATCAGATGCCCTCAAATTAAATCTATGGTACTTAAATGTCGAATGCAAGAATCTAATGGAAGCGTAAGTGAAAGAGATCCTTAACAAAGAACTTTTAATTTAATTTAATTTTCATTTAATTTTATTCAAAATCTAATCTCAAAATCAATTTTTTTTTCGTTTTCCTATTCAGTCTCTTGTAAAAACGTTAAAGAAATTTCAAAATCTTGAAGAATTAATTATTTGTCCACCAGTAAGATTTAACAAATCAAATATCAAACAATTAGAAAAACATAAAAGGTTAAAAGATGTTACAATAATTAATGGTCTCACATCTGACGCCGAATTATTTCTTGAGGAATGTAAAAATGAAAGCAAAGGTGGAATGTACATAAATGTAGTAAATTGTTAAAAACAAAAAAAAAAAGGAATTTGGATTCCTCTGGAAGGATTTCTAAATATCGTTGAAATTTACAAAAAAAATAAAAATAAAAATAAAAGAAAGGAATAAATGAATAAAAACGAAAAAAAAATAAAAATAAAAATAAAAATAAAGTAAAATGATACATCATTTTTACAAATATGAAAAAAAGTAAAAATAAAATAAAAATAAACTAGTATTAATTAAAAAAAAAAATTATGAATAATATTCCCGACTTACAATCCACGTTTCTAAAAAAAGCTATTAAGCATCATTTTAAGGAGAGTATCTGATTTAGTATGATCTAAAATAAAAAGACTTTGTTTTAAGATGATCCATGTAAATATAAATTTTTTACAATAAAATAATTTAAAGTTTTTAAGTGAATTCAATTCTATTTCTTTTTCGATTAGTATATAGAACAATTTTAATTTTTAATACTTAGTATATTTATTACAATAACTTGGTAGATAGTTTCATTTTAAAATATAATAAAATAGTCTTTTTTTTTTATAAAGTATAATTTATGAACAAATATTTATTTCTTTAAAATCTCTTTCCTTTATTATACATTAAATAGCATACCTTGATTCAATATCGAAGTTGGATCAAAAATTTCTCTCAGCATTGATAATTTTTTTTTTTTTTTTAAAGAAAATACTCTTGTATAACCAATAAATTTATTATTAATCGTTTATGCAGAAATTAATCCGCTATTCTGGATTTAAAACCTGAATCATTCTCTCACCGTCCGCAGTAAAATTTTGTGTCTGGCGAAAAAAATGTATAGAAGATAACAAATATGATATATATTTACAATGATATAAAAAAAATTAAAATTACAATTCTTTAGACATGAATTTAAAACAAAATTAAATTTAAATATATGTACACATATATATGAATTTACAAATAATACTCTTCTAGCAAGTCTCTTCCAACACTGAATTATTATTAAATAAGGTCATTCTATCTTCTAATTATATTTCTAAAATTTTAATAACATAATTCCTTAATTTGGAAAATCTCACATTCAACGATATCACTTTCAATTAAACCAAAATTATGCCCACCATTAAATTTAACTGATTTTTCTTGAAAATTAATAATTAAATCATCGGAAAAATATAATCCATTCGTACCATTATCAAATCTATTATAATCATTAACTGATTCAGAAGACCTATTATTATTAACTCTGGAATAAAACAGTTCTTTTTTGGTTTTTTTCATTGAGAGCGTTAAAGGCGTACCTTTAAAATTCTTTGAACAATCTTTCGCGATTTTTGTACAATCCTTGTTATTTTTATCATCACGAATCATCATTCTAATTACATCACATTTTTCAAATGTTTTTCCATCACCAAATGTAAATATGAACATTTGTTGTAACGAAATGTTGGAATTATTTTCAGAATTTGGATTAGAAAAATAATTGAATCCAACAGGATTATAACCTCCGACTAAAATATATCCTCCCAAGGTTGAACCTGACGATGGTAATTTTATTTTTGCTACTACCAGAGCAGGACCTTGATTAATACATCTATCATGATGAGCAGAAGCACCATCACGAGTCATTCTGAACAAGAGATTAAATTGATAAGCAGCTGGCGTCGTCATTGATGCTAGATTAATTGGTTGTCGTTGTTGTTGATTATGTTGATCCAATTGAACTTTTGTAGGTGTTTTACTTGCAGTTGTAGTAAGTATATGAGTGGAAATTGATAATGCGGTTGAAATAAGACCTGACCCTTGTTGTTGTTGTTTATTCTTCTTGTTAAAGAATGGAAAGGTGAAACAATGTAAATTACATTTCTTGAGTTTAGAAGGAACATTCGTGGTATTGGCAATTACATTTGGAACAACGTAAATGCCTTCTTGTATCCAATCAGTGATTTTCAATGCTTGTAAATGGTTCATTAATGCGGAATCTTCTAAAATGATGTTTGTTGATGTATGAAAATTTGTATATGTCTTGTTATGTTGCGTGGACTTTTGATGCGTTGTATTATTACGTTGATTATGTGACAAATAGTATCTGACAGTTTCCTCTCCAACATTTCCAATATCTTTCGTCAAATAATTTAAATAAGGTAAAACCTTATCTAAAAAATAGTTTCTGCTAATATGATTAAATCTAACATATTTTTCCACCAAATCAAGTATTAACTCATGTAACGTATTAAATTCATATTGATGCCATTTTTTAATGTCATGAGAAAATTCATAAATCTTTTCTTGTCCGATGGCCCATTGTAAAATGCATTGCCAAATAGCCCAATCCTCTAATCCATTATAACATTCACTTAAAACATTATCCATAATTTTCTCCGTAAATAAATGCAAATCATTCTGTATAAGTAAACAAGTTGGGTCCTTCTTGATTATTGTCAATGTGTGTAGCAAAAGTTTTGAAAATGCTGTTGGATTTGAATATGAACATTGTAATATCGGAACAATTTTCGTTTTTAACCAATCAGAATTAAGGTGAATGAAGTATGATTGTATCTCATGTGTAAAATCTTGAAGAATCAATTCATCTGATGCTTTTAATAAATCCAATATGGTCAAAATATCCAATTTTTCCAACTTAATACTCCCAAAATAAAAATATCTAAACAAGTGAATGACCATTTGTGGGTTAGATTATCGTCTCAACATACACACGTGACACAAATACGGAATTTAACTATACCTTAGTATTGCGGTAAATACTTTTGAGGATAAATTTGGTTTATCAAATAAATACATATCATCTTGTTTTTTCGCCCAATGGTTCGAAAAGGCGGTACGAAAATAAGATGACTTTTTACATAGGATGATCGAATGACTCCGAAACCTTTTAACAGATGTTCCTTCTCCCACGCTAATGATAACATCAAAATTTGTATTATTAGGAGAAGGAGGATTATTCGCATTGTTATTATTAGGGTCGAATTGAATCAATTTTTCAAAAGCTAAATCATCAGCATCAGTGTCAAATAAATAATTATAAAGCGTAGATGATGATGATGATATAGTTGAATTTAAAGTATTTATGGTTAAGGTTGAAAAATCTGATGATGCAGTTGACACTGAAGAAATCTGTGATGTATGCCGATAACGACGACAATTTGTACTATCATCGTCCGGTAAGATGCTGCTGCTAAAGGTGTCGCCGATTATCTTAAAGTGTCTACGACTTTGGTAATCATTTGGATTTACAATTTCAATTTCATGTGGAATATACGATGTATTGTATGAAGAAGGCGACTGAATTGATATTGGTAATGTATTAGGTTTGTAATGTATTGGAATAATTGGAGTTGTTGGAGTTGGGGGAAATGTTGGAGTAGTAGGCGATGTAAGCGGCGTTGGCTCGGAATTATTATTGGTCAGAGCATCAAGGCTCTCATACATCATTTCTGTTATATCTAGCATTTTTTTTATCTTGAGAGAAAAACAATTTCTTTTAAGTAAAAGGCAGCGAACGAAAAAAAAGCATAAATCGAAGAAAAAAAAAAAAAATTTTTTTTAGAAAATAATCATTATTATTTTCAGTAGTATTTATATTTGGCGTTAATTTATATACTATTATTATATAAAGTTCTCTATTCCGCAATTGTTAAGTTTTATATGTTGATCTCATGATCTACGTGCATTTCATATGATATGACCAGCAGATTTTTTGCCGAGACCATATAATTCCGCTATTTCATCCGGTTTGTCCAAAAATATTATATTATTTTGTACTTGTAATGGTATAATTAATACAAATTCAGCATCATTGAATAATTCGATAAATCGATCCTTAAATGTCATATGACCGATAAGATTTCGGAGCTTAGCAATTAATTATTATTTATAGAAGAGGTTACTAATCATTTAATCATTAAAAAATAAGATAAGCATTTCTAAATTTATCCACATTTAACTATTTTAAACCTTTCAATGTAATTTATTTTTAAACTAATTTTATAAACTTTAAAATTCTGAAACATCTCAGATAGACCCTTGTAATACTCTAAATATTTACAAGGGAATTACGATTTTTTTTATGAGCCCAAGAATCTGGTACAATCTCATATATAAAGAAATATAATTAAAATGATGACTCATTATTTAATCAGCTTTAATAAAGATAAGTTTCCATTTTTATTCAGATTTTTTCTTTGTTATGTGTAAATTAATACTTTTGGCTTAGATGATTGTTTTGCCACATTTTTTTTATGATACAGTTTCAAAAACAATGCCTAATTAATTGAGTTAATTTATAGCACGTTTTTTTTTTTTTTTTTATCTATCTACTATGCGGCAAATCCGATCAAATATAAATTGTCACGCGAGTTGCATTCTTCTGATAAATTGAAAAGGAAAAGAAAAGAATAAATATAATATAGATATTATGATAATGCGAACAATTTATCATTGTTTTCTTTATTTCGGTGGGTATTTTAATGTCAAAATCATAATAGTATTACGTACAATATAAAAAAAGCCTTTTGATTGCCATTTGATGATGTTCAAAAGGGTTTTACTAAAAACGTTAAAATTTAAAACACAAATACACATGATAATTATCCACGCCAAGCAAAAAGATAAAATTTACGCGAATATAACCTTGGTTTATTTGATTGGAGGACATGATATTTCTCGCATATAATTTTTTTTTAAAAAAATTGTCTTTCATATAATGCTCTTATTGAGAAATTTCTCAAAAGCAATAAATAGGAAAATAAGTTTAATATAGTGTGGCTCGCACATCTTAAACTACTTGGCTTAGAGCACAAATAATGTGTACAATGCCTTTGGCGATTTTCTTGTCGCACCTATCATCTTGAGCGATTTAGTTATTTTGTTTCTCATGGAAATTTTCGGTGTATGTGTGCGTATACAGTATATATAATTGTATAAAAGTGACGTTTCAACGTCTAGCTTTGTTAATAGTCCATCCACTAGTGTTTCTGGGCGAAAGCATTTTCTTTTTAAACTTTCCGCCGAGTGAATTTTCAGTTTTTTGCCTAGTCCGGAACTATCCGAAACCTTTAATTTGGAAGATCAATTGGCGAAACGAGATTCGCCCGAAACATCACCATCTACCAATGAATATAATGCGAGAAATTGGTCATACTCAATTGGGATAATTCTCTTCATGATTATTTAAAGCAGAGAAAAGATTCTATCTTGCTTTTACGGAGCTGGGTATATGGGGTATATTGGCTGAATTCGTTGAACTGCAAGATAACTTTGGCTCGTTGGAAAAAAAAATGGTAAGGCGTTGGAGTGTTGTTATCAAAAAATGATTTTGTATAGTATATTTTTTATAATTTTATTTATATATTACTATTTATATTGTACAGTATACAGTATTTATAAAAAGAAAAAATTCAAAATTCAAAATTAGTTAAAAATTTTTATTATAAAATTAAAGATTATAATTTAACTTAAATAAAAATCTTTATTATTAAAAGAATTGTCAACTTTTTTTACTTAAAACTCAAAATACTTATAAAAAAATTAAATTAAAAATATCAAGCAAAAAAATGCAAAAGATAAAAGTTAGGTAAAATAATAAATACCGTAAAATCGTGAAAATAAGCACCCTTTTTTTGCAGTCATGTGATCATCAAAATCAGTAGGGATGCTTATTTTT